AAATATATATAATATTTTTTTTTTTTTTTTTTTGCTGGGAAGTTGGGCAAAAAATAGAAAAGGAACTTCAACATCATGATGTTCCAAAAATGTAACGGCTTGACTCATAAGATCTCCGAAGCAGCTCATCTCCCCGGTGTTTTATTGGCCTCCTGGAAGAGCAGCACCATTCCCGTGGCTGGGTGCTGGAGGTGGATGGGTGCCGGAATTCACAATCGTGCTCATCCAATGTCTCTTCATTAATCGGCGTTGAAACGCAATTATTCAAGCCAGCAACGTTGGGGTTTGAGATGTTAAACCAGCTGGTGGGATGGGAGAGAGAAGGGCTGACGGCTGCGTAAAGGGCTCCCCAAGTCCAGGGCTACTTGATTTTTCCCCTTGGCTAAACCCAACCTGGGTTTTCCAGGCAGCTCCTTTCCAACCGGCAACTGAGCAACACCCATCAGGAACGGGGTGTCCCACCAGACGTGTCTCCCAGCCTGGCTTTTCCAGCCCCCCCAGGGCTGCCGCTGCTGCCTTTGCGGCGCTGGATGGAGCAGGCGAACCCAGGTCGGCAGGGCAGGCGCGGGGATGTGCTGCGGGGATGCTGCTGGGGATGCGGGCACCGGGATCCGGCCACACTGCCAGGGATGCTGCTGGGGATGCGGGCACCAGGATCCGGCCACGCTGCCAGGGATGCTGCTGGGGATGTGAGCACCGGGATCTGGCCACACTGCCAGGGATGCTTTGGGGACGCGGGCGCCGGGATCCGGCCACACTGCCAGGGATGCTTTGGGGACGCAGGCGCCGGGATCTGGCCATGGTGCCTCCCTTCCTGCTCCACCAAGGCTAATGGGAGCACGGAGCCAACGCCGATCCCGGGGGAAGCCAAACCGACGCACCAAGGCCAAACAAAGCGTAAACGCTGAAGTTTTCATTAAAAATTGAAATGCTTTTGCAAACACGTTGGGGTTTGATGCGAGCGGCAAAGCGGGGCAGCAGTGGGGAGAGGGAGCGGAGGGCTCGTTTCCAGCTGGTTCTGCAGGCTCATGGGGATGGCGGGGGACAGTGGGGGACAGCAGGGGATGGTGGGACATGGTGGGGGACAGTGGGGGATGGT